TGGGTGCCAGCGGGGCTTACCCTGGCCGGATGGTGTGGGTGCTCCCGGTGCTGGCATCACCCTACCAAAACCAGTACGGGGGCCGGGCAAGGACCCTGTGTCCCGTGGGACCTCGCTTCCCATGGGGAAAAGCTGGTTAAAGAAGGAAAACAGTCAAACCCTGATCCAGAGGCGGAGGGGACTGGCCGGCATCCCACCTCCCCGTCCCCCACAAGGAGCCGCCGTCCTTCCCCTTCCAGCCTGGTACCGCCGGGGTTCGGACCCAATGTATCATTAACAACCTCACCTGACACTCGGCGGACACATCATCAGGCGTCAGGGATGTTTATATAGATATTTTTGATATGGAGATAGGGTAATAAGCCTGGAAGCCTCCCTCTGAGGCTTCAGATTCAATAAACCAGCTTTATTTGCACAGGGCCCTTTACTACGGGCTCTGCTCAGGCTTTTAAAGATCACAGGCAAAATAAGCAAGTCCCGTATTCCCCCCTGGCCAGCTCTCCCCTCTCCTACAGCGTGAGCTGCTAAAGGTGGAGGAGTTTCCAGGCACCAAGTGATTTTTCAGCATGGGCAAGGGCCGCAGGATGGGCTCACGGGTCACCAATGCTCCTGCTCAGCACGGGCAGCACAACAGGCAACACCCAAGTAAAAACTGAACCCAGTTTTTAGGAGCAACCCCCTTCTTTCTGTGTAAACCTGGCCAGAAACCATCCCAGGAAGGGACGAGGTTGTGCCTGAAAGAGGAATTCAGTGGGAGAAGTGGGGTCTGTGCCAGACCTGGCTCCTACCTCCACGCCAGCTGCTTAAAATGTCGCTTGGGGGAAAAAGGGAGAGGCGGCCAGTATTTCATGAATGTGCCTATTTTTGTGTCTCCAAATTCAGTTTTCCCCGTGTTTTCTCTCCTGCCCAGCACGCCGCCTCCAAGTCACAGCAGGTTCAGCTCTACCTGGAACTGGTTTTAACGGAGGGGAGATGGCAGCTGCATTTCCAGCTCCTCGAAACAGCAGCCATCGCGTGCAAAGCCTGGCCCAGCCAGCTGCTCCCCAGCACAAAATCCGGGCTCCTCACGCCCTCCAGCAGCGTGTTTATTTACAGCCGTGTATTTCTTTCTAAAGATCTGGTCTCAGGGGGCAAAATCCCTTCTGTGTATGAAACCAGTACTGACTAGCTCAGACATTGTCTGCTGGAGACTGCAGGCAGCCGGAAACAATAGGGGTGTGCGGAGCGTCCTGACACATTTCCATTTTTGGACCGTGATAAATCTGAAACCTAATAGTAACAGCTCTAAAAATGGCCCACGTTAATTATCTGTTTGGGAATCAGTTTGGGATTCAGCCATCGCACGCAATCCCCAACGGCCTCACATCTTCCTGCATACCAAAAGATTCATTTAACCCCTAAAAATTGGACAAAACCTCCAGGTTTCCCACAGAAACTTTCCAACACGACTGCAAGCTGGAGTAGGGACATCAGCAGTGCAATGAAAACGGGAAGCACATTGGGGGAAAGGCGGCCTAAAATTCCCTGGCATTCTCTGTAAGAATCAAACTAGGGGCCGACTGCATCGTTGTGTTTCACGTACAACTCAACCCAAATCTCAATTTTTTTAAAATGCGACCCACGCACTCAAAATACAGCACAGAGCCTGGTTTTAGCCGAAATCACTTGACTACAGACAACCGCTCTCCATTTTTGGGGTTTTGCTGACACCTGGTGTTCTGGAAAAGATGCTGTGACATCCTGCAAGTCCCTTCCCTGGCCACTCTCTCAGGTCTGAGCGATGTATGTTTGGGACCTAACCCTGAATTTGGGGAATAACCTGAGAAATGCAGATGTGCATCGAGATTTCAGCAGCAGTAACCTCTCGAATGGAGAGAAGCGCTGTGGCAGCAGCATCTGTACCACGCGGTGCGATGTTACTGCAAACCCGAGGGCATGGGTGTACACTTCCCAACTTCAGGAGTCAGGGGAACTGCAGGGATGAATCTCAGGTCTCGTTTATTTTTAACCAGTGCATTTCATTTCAAGGGAAAACTATCCAACGATGTGATCCAACCCCAAGAGATCTCTCTAGAATGACTGCTCTACCCGAGGCAGCCATTTAGGTTTAGCACCCAAGACCCAGAAAATAAAACTGATTTCAGCAGTCATAAAAGCAGCATTCTTATTTACTTAAAGTACGTTTTTCCCCATCAAAAAAAAGAAGAAACAATTAGAAAGCACGTTTCACGCCAGCAAAGGAGGCAAATAACTTCTCACGACACCTGAACAAATCCAAATGCAGGAGTGGGTGGCATCAGATGATACGATGGAGCTGAACAGAGATCTGTTTGCCATGTGTCCTGGTTTCAGCAGGGACAGAGTCAATTTTCTTCCCAGCAGGTGGTACAGCGCTGTGGTTTGGATTTAGGATGAGAATAATGTTGATAACACACTGATCTTTTAGTTGTTGCCCAGCAGTCAAGGACTTTTCAGTTTCTCACATTGCCCTGCCAAGGGGAAGGCGGGGGGTGCCCAAGAAGCTGGGAGGGGACACGGCCAGGACAGCTGACCCAGACCAGCCAAAGAGATAGTCCATACCATATGACGTCATGCTCCGTATAGAACTGGGGGTGGGCTGGGAAGCGGAGCAGCTCAGGAACTAGCTGAGCATCGGCTTCGGGTGCTGTGCATCACTTGTTTTGTACATTCTTATTACTACTATTATTACTATTATCTTCCTTTTCTGTCCCATTAAACTGTCTTTATCCTGACCCACAAGTTTTACTCTTTTTCTTTTCTATTCTCTCCCCTATCCCACCGGGAGGGGTGAGCCAACAGCTGTGCGGTTGTTGTAGCTGCCGGCTGGTTAAACCACGACACGGTGCTATTTTCTGCTTTTCCTCCCGGTCCACAGGCCTGTGGTAACAGCAAAGGCTCCAGCTATGGATGCTATCGAAGACGACAAAATGGCCATCACCAAGTGCACAGAAATTCCAATCCCAGTACCTTCCTTCTTCATACAGAATAAAACTCAGCCTCTACTATTTAGCACACATCATACTTAGTCCTATGAAAATGGTGTTTAAAATGCAGTGAAAAAAGAATTTTCAGCTCACAGCCTGGACAAAAACGGACTGTTACAGCTGTCTGACCTCTTGTATTTCCAAAAGAAGTCCTGGGAGACCAGGGCCAGAGGACAGCCCAGCTGACAAACACACTCACCTTGAAAGCTGTGAAGAGCTAACGGCATCGAGACACCTTTCGGTACGTGACCAGGCTGCCTTTTGTGCCACACTCTTCCTCTGATGGACACTAGGAAGATTTGTATCTGAAAACTAGATCTGAAAACACAGAATGAAAATAAAAGCCACATTTGGCGAAGCTTTTCCTAAATTTCAGTGTTTGAATCTCAGGTACATGATTACTTCATTGAATTATGGCCTGATAAGGAATTTTACTACATCTTTTTTCTTTGTTGTTGCTTTTAAGCCATTTTCAGAGTACAGTCTCTGCAAAATGAGCCCAGCCGCTACACAAAAATGTCAGTACTTCACAGAGTCTAATCCTGGTCTTTTAATAAGGACAGTGGCTCCCTAGGAATAGCAGGCACCAGCTGTCCGTGTCCTCTGCCCAAAGGTTTGCTGGACCAGCTTTACCACTCAAACGCACGCCCTGCCCAAATCCCATCAGTTACGTCTCCCCAGACAAACACTGCTGAAAACAAAATTCCATAACTAAGTATCACCACAAGGATTAAATATTTACAGCACAAACATGGAAAGAAAATATTATAACACAATTTAATAAATAATAAGAATGACGTGGTCACGCTCCTGCAACTCAAGCTGTCTTTCCATACGTCCAAGGAGCAGCTGTAGTCCATCTCCTCCACCGAGCAGCAAACGCGGTGTTTGGGATCTTCTCCCTCTGGTTCCCACTGGTCCAACATCCATTGCCCTGCCACACGTAGGCTTTGGGATTCAGAGGACAGTAGAGGCTTGAAGGATCTACCAACATTTCAAGCTAACTGACCCCTCGCTTCACCTCAAAGAGATTAGTGCAATCAATTTTTCCAAAAACCCCACAAGGGTCAATAAAATACCACATGAAAACAGTCAGTAGTGCACATCCTCTCACACAGAATAATCACAGTTTTCTTACAAATTGTTTCACAACCTCAGTACTTTCAGGTTTCTCACTGAATCAACCGTGATATCAGCCTTTGCATGTTATCACGGGACAAATATTGATCATTTTTGGGCAATGATTTGAAATTTCAAAAGTCTTGAAGTTTCTGCTAGGAAACTGAAGCAACTCTGTATGAAAAGGAGCATAACATGAAGCAAACAAAATCACATATTATCATTTTTGGCCTAAAAATCATAGAGGTATTTCCAACATAGTTATATACAATTTGCCTGTTTGAGTGCATTTGTAACTGGTTCAACAGTTTACAATTTTGTCAATAATTTTACATCCTCTCCTGGAGAATGCGCATTCATAGAATCCCAGACTGGTTTGGGTAGGGAGGGACCTCACAGCCCACCCAGTCCCACCCCCTGCCATGGGCAGGGACACCCTCCACTAGCCCAGGTTGCCCAAAGCCCCATCCAACCTGGCCTTGAACACTGCCAGGGAGCCAGGGGCAGCCACAGCTTCTCTGGGCATTCTTTTCTTGGAACACCATGTAGGTGTTGTAATCTTGACTACAGATAATTAAATAGATCGCTGGCTTTCTGAATGCCTGAGCAGATGCATCTCATCCTCTCGAAGAGAGTTCAAAATGTTTTTATACCAAGAACACTGTCTTCTCAGCAGCGATTCTTCAGAGTCTTTTCTTTTCTGTACAATAAAAGCTCACAAAAAACCAAAACACCACTAAGTGTTCACACTTGGTTCAGTGCAACAAAGGAAGACCTAATAGTTACAGTTTTCAACTCTGCAGGAACTTTGATTTCCTGGGTTCTTCAGTGCAATTTTTGGAGAGCAATTCCTAGTCAGGCAAGGGTTCTTCTTTACTAGTAGAAGGAGAAACACAGTCTTGGGTCTTGGCTTGTCAAATTCTCAGCGAGGCCCCTGGGCACTGGATTGTCCCACAGCCTACAAGGACAGCAAACGTGTTACTGTATGACTAAGTACGGCGAGCAAGGAGGTGACATGCCAAAGGCAGTGGAAGAGGCAGTTTTGGGTTCTCGTCAAAGCAGGTCCAACAGCGAGACAGGAGCGAGGTATGGCTGTATCTTGGCAACACAGCAGCAAGCCAGCAGCTGCTGACCTGCTGAGATGGACTCACTTACCTGGCTTGGGAGAGAGATTAAGGCTTTGAAAAGTCCTCAGGCCACTAGGATCTCAGACAGTGGAGGAAGAATTGAGTTACACACAAGCAAACCGATTTATGTGAGCCACCCTTCCTCATCTACCTCATTCGGTGGAGTCCACCCCAAAGCTGCCCATACTGGGCTTCTACCGTGCAAAGCAGAGCGCCCTGAGGAGTCAGAGGGACTGCGTGCTGTGCTGCACCCGCCAATCTGAGCAAGCTCACAGGGGCCCCACACTCCAGCCAGGACCAGAAATGTTCCTCAGGGATTGGTCTCGGGCTGCTCTCACTACTGGGGAAGGCAGAGCCTGTTTGGGGCCAAAGAGACAGCTCAGGTAGGAGCAGACACTTGGCTGTGGGACCTGTGTTACCAGAAAGTTATCAGAGGTGCTCTCAGAAGAGTGACTTTTCAAATGAGCAAAGGATGAGTGGGTGTCTCCTACGAGAGGTTTCTAGTGGAGTTTGATACATAGAGTTTGGAGAAGGAAAGAGCAGGAAAAATCAGGTGTCCAAGTATCTGCAAGATATGGATCCCAGGACAGAGTGGGACAGGGCAGGAATGTATCTCAGAAGTGAAACCAGATGCAATGGGAGAAAGAAAACTTATAGGAAAAAATGTGACAAATTTTCTGATGGGGGACATTACACAACTGAGTCTTCATTTTTACCTCATTTAATGCCAGTAAGCTTTGCAGTCCCCTTTTCCCAGGACTTTGAGGGGGTGGAGCCGGCCTGGAAAACCCTCAGCTTACTTGGCTTGCGTCTGCTTCCCCTGCAATCTCCTATTCCACGCCAGCTCACCCAGGGCAGCAGGCCGGCATGGGTCACATCTGTCCCAGGACTGGTCACCCCGACTTCCTCTTGCTGAGCCGATACCCAGCCACAGAGCTCCGCGACAGCTGCTCACCTTATGAACTGAATTTCCGGGCACTTGGCAAGTTCCTCTGCTAGCTTTCTGGCCCCGCAGGCGCTAATGTGATTTTTCTCCAAACTGTTCGAAAAACAGAAAGAGAGTTTTAGAATCCAAAACCAAATCAAGAGTGTAAAACAGCTGAATAATCATCGGCTCCTTCTCCTGTCCCTGAAGAGCTACGCTTTTGCACAAGCACAGCAATGCCATACCACTTACATCAGCCTTACGTCTTTATGACCGTAGCCCTATTTATGCAAGAAGTGTGTGCGCTGCTCCCTGTGACCTCCTTCAGGCAACAGGACTTGTAAGCCAATCTCTTGCCCTTGGGGCACTCTAACTGATCCAGCTGTGAGCTTCGTGCCAGAAAATGCTAGTAATGACTTCTCCTGCCTCAGACACAACCTTTCTGCTTGTACCAGTAAAACAGCCAGGCTCTACTACATAGTTTCCCTGCCCAAGACAAACAAAACTCAGTTCCTGACCCTATGACCCACAGACTAATATTTTCATACAGCTGAGACACAAAAGACACATACCATGTATTCCAAAGGACCAAGGGGAAGAAAGCTCCGTGAAGTTCTGGAGCAGATGACGACAAGTCTCTCCCGTGGAACAGGGCTGGGCTGTGATGCCACCGGGCCAGCGCACGAGCTGGTGACATCAACCCCAGTGCTGGTTGCACTGCAGTTCCAGCACAGCACCTGCGTCTGAGCTCCCTGTGAGTCCCTGAGGCACAACGCTCACAATTTGGCTGCTCCATCCTGGGGAAGGTTTGCTGGCCTGGCTGCAGGCTTTCACAAAGGAAGGCTCTCTGAGCACTGCACCCATCCAGCCCATCCCAGACAATGAAGAGAAGTAAAAGCTTGCAGGAAGCAGCTCACCTGAGGTCATCAGGTGGTATGAGTCATGTCCTACCAGTTTGTCTTCCCTGACTCAAACAGGAGGCCTTCAAAGACTAGCTTGTGCTTGGATACCTACGCTGCAAACACCTTAAATAAAAACCGCCCCTCTGCCCTGTGTATCACCCAAGCAAGGCTGGCCCTCGGTGCACGCAGCAAGAATGCTAAGCAAGAATTTGAACTGCAAAAGCCTGTCTGTTGTTCCTAACATCTGTCCCCTTCTTGGAAGTGCTGTGGTTGAAGACTCAACGACAGAAAAACAAGTCCTCTTCCTGGGGTTGCTCTCAGGGCTGTACTCACTCTAACATCTTCAGCTTTTCCATCCCGGGGAGAGCACTGGCCAGCTCTCGGGCTCCTCTGTCACCAAGGGCGTTCCATGACAATCTAAGACAGACAAGAAATCCCAACTGTGAGTCAGCTGGCAAACATAAGGGGAACAACAGCGGTGCTCAGATTAGCCTGTTTACAAGAGCTTATCACCCTCTTATCATGGCAGGTAAACATTCCCCTGCTTTACAAGCTTAATTTTGAGAATTTCCTGTTTCACCACATATTACCACACCAGTGAGGGTGACCACAGAGTCTGAGGACTGTGGTTATCTCCGGAGTCCTGCAGGCCCAGGGAATGAGATGTGAAAGATGGAAATGACTGCTGAGCACACAGCTTTACCCCAGGGCAACTCCTCCTTGTGCCGATGGTATTAAAGTCTTGCAGCAGCTAAGGTGCCCCTCAGACCTGCTCTTCAAGCCGCCTTTGGACTCTGAGCTCTTTCGAAGGATAGCTCGCAGAGCTCTTGGAAGGCTGGGGTTTTCATTTTCTGATGAAAGTGAGAAAATTCTGCAGATCCTTTCTTTGCCACTGGCTGAGCAGCCTGGCCATTTCCCTCTCACCTGGAAAACAGCAACCTAGCATGGCACCATCAGTGCTTCGCTACAATACTGAACGCTCCCGGGGCCAGCCCACAGAGCCATTCCTCTGCCCAAGTCTGGGGAACTCCAGTTTCTTTATCATGTGTAGGAGCCAAAAAAAGAAAGGTAAGACAGGATCCAGCTTGAGAACTGGGGCCTTCCACCAAACAAGTTCACAGTCTGTTCTGGCATTTCATGGGTATCAGTATATTGCTCGCCGTGTCACGCAGGTTTTCCCAATGACAGAACTCACATGTGTGACAAGACAAGATCCTCCTAATGCTACTGTTAAAGGAGAATCTGCCAATCTGTTAATAACGCAGGAGTAGAAACTAACCACGTGGTTAACTAGTCTTAGTGCCATGCTGCAAGCAACACACCTGTGCACTGAATATGGCTTTACTCATCCCATTACTCCACTGGACTATGTAGTTGTAGCATCAACTACAAGTCACCTCTCCTGGGTCTGGCTTTGTCCTAATGCCCAGAGTCCTAAGATATCTGTGATCTCCACACAAACACCTCCTGGGCGAGGGAGAGCACAGTCTGGTGGGGGCTTATGAGCCATGCATCGTTTTACTCAAACCATCCACGAGTACTTTGCAGAGCTGAGGCACATAAGAGTAGCATGGCTATCGAGTGTCATGCTTTATGTCTTTATCACCCAGCTGGCCACTGCAAAGATGAGTGTGTATGGGTCTCACAGCTCTATATCCTGATAGAGGAGCAATCTCAGCCTGTACCCTGCCAGCACCTCAGGCAGTGTTAGTCTTCACTAAACTCAGGATTGACGAGACCACTGCTGACTCCATGGGATCTTGTGTACTACAATTAAAGTTAAGGTCCCTTTAGTGCAATGGGGCAAATTGCTTGTAAAAAGAGATAAGCTGGAGCAGGTTCCTGGCAGACTTCTCACTGAGGTTCTCTTGGGCAGGTGAACACATATCAGAATGTAGTTAGCCCATCTATGCTGTTTATTGAAAACATGTCAAACATCCACGCATCAGAGCAACCCCTTTTCTTCCAGTGTGGGGAGCGAGACTGCAGCTGGTGGTTCGCCCTGTCCATCTACAGGCTGAATTCACTTTGCTCTCAATCCGGCTTTTGCAATTGCAGAGAAGCTCCTGCTCTGAGAGCCAAACGTGGGCATCTTGTAAAAAAAATGGAGACAAGACTTGGACCACAGAGAAGAAGATGGGAAATTTGTCCCGCCTCACAAAGCAGATGCCAGAAGACGAACAATAATGGGCAGAGTTTGAAGATGAGTGTTTTTCCTCCATATTCTGTTCAGCTCTTCACATTCAGCTTCCAATAAGTTGCTGGTTATACCAGGAAAATTTCTGCAGTGAATTTTGTCAATTAGTAAATTACTAATAGATTTAGCACTAAAAAGTACGTAGTGATAAGTATCAGTAAGTATTTAGCAGGATCAGAAGCATACTGCAGTTGAAAACAGGAGCAGGCATTACAAGAAGAGTGACCTGTGTGTTGAAGGGTGTCCCCACACATTCCCACACTCACATTATCTCCTCCATGGATGGGCACTGTCGGAAGCCGTGAGAAAGTGATTTCGAAGCACTGTCAGTAATTCCACAGAGTTTCAACCTGAAGCGGCGGGGAGAGAAAAAACAGAGAGCACAATGTGCTGGTGTCAGAACCGGTGGGGAATACGGCACCAGCACTGTCTGCTGCGCTCCTGCCCTGGCAATGCTACAGCCAAAGCCGGCCACGCTCTGCCCGGCAGCCTTCAGTGCCCTGGTACTCACTCAATCTTCCGGAGGCGTTCAAAGCACGGCAGCCCCTCGGACAGCGCATGGATACTTCCTTCCCCAAGGTCATTTTCTGATAAACTGTAAGAGTAATGGAAAAGCTTTGAGTGGCCGCAGAAAAAGCAGGTACAGTCAGAGAAAAGCCACCACCAAGGCATAACTATGTGAATTAGCAAGTCAACAACTAGTACCCAGACTAAGTGAGGACTCTAGACAGCAGGGACAAGCCAGATGGGCTCAGGGTCAGTTCCCTGCTTGGTAAAATGGGAATGACAGCCCCGCTCTAACTCGCAACATAAGTCCATTCAGCAGCGAATTGCTTGCAGACAGCAACGTGGGGTTATACCAGTGGCTACGATGGACAGACCTGCAGCACATCATGTGTTGCAAGTGAAACTGGGAATAAGAAGTTCTACTGGAGTTAGTGACTGGTGTGACTTGAAATGACAGTACAGGGGAGTGGGAAGAAGATGTGGCTCTCAGACTCAGGGGGCAGCCGTAACTGCCATCCAGCCTTTATCAGGGTGTGCTGCTCTGTTCTCGTCTGCCAGCAAACACAAGCCATGGCAATACCTCCCCTGCTCTAACATATCTCACACCTCAATTACCAACGCCCTCATTCATCTGGTTATTTAACGATACGATAGGGTAATTTCAGTTCAAAGGGACCTACAGTGACTATCTCGTCCAACTGCCTGACCACTTCAGGGCTGACCAAAAGCCAACGCAGGTTGTTAAGGGCATCATCCAAATAACAAACAAACACATAACAATAATAAAACACGTAACAAACATATAACAATAAGTAAACACATAACAAAGAACGGTTGCATCAAGGATGCAGCAGGAAGAGTTAATTCTCATCACCTCCACGTTTTCAGTTCCACATTCAGAAATTCTCCCGCTCCCCAGGTTCCCTCATACCGTAGTTGAAAGGCACGTGGCTACACAAAGCCTGGCAAACAGCAGTGGCAGGCACGGTTTAACCCCTAAAGCGATCTCAGCTGCCTCGCAGGCAGTGCGCTGCAGCGACCGTCAGAGAGCGTCTCCCCTCATCCTACGAAACGTGTCCAGGGCGGGTGGAAAGGTTGCCCTGAGCACGGACACAGCCTACGTGACAGCCTCAGGCCTGTGAGCTGAAACGATTCCCACCCACAGAGCGATACCAGCCCATGCGTTTGGCACCATCCCAAGCGGACCCGCCATGGCCTACCTTATCTCTTCTAGCAGCCCACATGCCACCAGGGCTCTGGCCAGCTCCATCCCTCCTGCTGGCCCAATGCCATTGTTCTGCAAGCTATCAAAAGAAGCATAAGCATTGGAGGGTTATTTTAGAATAATAAAGCTGTAACAAAAGCTCATATTTAACTTGCCAAGAAGATAACTGCTGTATCTTTTGAATCAGCACCCGGTGCTGGTAATAACCTGGCATCCTTGTGGATTAGTCTTAACGAAGGGGCCTGGAAAACAGGGAGGTGACAGTTGGGGCTAGTAATGTGGCTAGCACGTCACATAGCTCCTGTTGCTGCCCTAAGGACATGCAAGCTCAGTGGATTTGCCCACAGTCAGCCGGTCCTTACAAAGGCAAAGCACAGTACTGCCAGGAGTCTGTCTCCAGCTCTGCCCATGGATCGGTTTGAGATGAGTGAGGAACGGCCTTCAGAACAAAGAGCAGGTGGGAAATTTCATGTCTGCAGATTTTCCCACACCTTTCCAGTGAAGACAAGAGCCCACCCACAGGACTGAAGTCTCCCACCACTGGGATTCCCTTCCTAAGTTATCTTTTGACGATACCTTGTACGCAGGCTGGAAGACACACCACTAGGCTAACTGAGCCCAGTGAGCTCTTCTAGCTCACCAATTTCTTGCTATGCTACTGTGAAACAGTATGAAAAAGTCATACATGTTAGACCTCTGTTACGTTAAACCATAAAAGGTTTAAAAATATAGTACCACTGAGTTCAGGGGGAAAAATGACTCAGAGGTGCCTGCACAAAACAGTGAGGGACCAGAAAAGGTGCTCACGTTTATGCTTACATTGCACCAGCACATGAGGACAGCCAGAGGCATTAGAAGCTAATGTACTCAAAACCAATTTTAAGGGTATTTAACTGTATATACAATACCTGGGTCATCTCTAAAGTTAATACTGCAAGAGATTATGCAAGAATAGTTGATGTGACTTGATGCAGCAGAATAATTGCAGAGGGTTTCTCAATCCTGAGACACTTAAAATAATACCTAAACAAGAGACCAGTGTACCACCACAGCCTAGACCTTTTTCCATGCCTTCTTTCAACCATCTCACATACTCCCAGGACATCCAGCTCTCCTGGAGCAGAGGCTGACACTTACTGCAGGATCTTGAGGTTGGTCATGTGAGGCAGACAGAGGGCAAGTTTCACTGCTGTCCTGTCTCCAAAGCCATTCCTTGATAGTCTGGAAGAAGCAGCGATGCAATGTTACTGGCAGTGAACTAGAGAGCCTCATTCCTCACCTACGTGTCACCCCCACATATCGCTGACCCCCATTCCTCACCCACATGTGCACGGGACTATGCTGACGGGAGCTAATGTCCACGATTTGAAGGACACTGGGAGTGGGAGGAAAGAACAATGAGGTTTTGTAATCCTGCAGCACGAATTAAAGAGGGAAGTAAACCTGACGTGCACTTCTCAGGAGCACACCAATCTCCCTTTCTGACTAAGTTGTCCTGAGCTGGAATTAAACTGAAACTGCACTTTTTAATATGTGCCCTTAGTCCAGTACACTGTAAAATGAAAGTTATATGAATAGCTCTGGCATTTTAACTGTAACTCTCTCTCATTTGTGGTCTTTTTTATTGTTTTATTTCTTTAATATGGCAGGGGCGCATATGTTCTATAAACTGGTCTGCAATGGGATGACCATCTAGCTCAGTAAAGCTTCTATCTGTCATCTTCCCTCCGTTTTTGCAGCCGTATAGATTAATGCCGATTTCTTACACAACACAGGCACTGCACAGCCCATATGCCTGTGGCACTGGCTATTAAACCGCAGATTCATCTCTTCCCCACTGATGCAGTCCGTTCGGTTCTTGGGAATCTCGGCGAGATTGCGGTGAACAAGCAATCCCTAAACCTCCCACACCCAGCACGACACATTCCTATCCCACGCAGCTGTGAGTTTTTACCCTGCTCTCATAAGAATCAGTAGTAAAACTGATTTTGGCTTTACTGCAGCCAGATTAAATTTGGTTTCCATGCCTTGATTTTTGCTCAGCTTCCTGAAGAGACATCAGAAACAGCACACTTACAGTAGCTCCTCGATGTGCTTGCAATAGGTAAGAGCTTCCATCAGCTTCTCCCCTCCAGCAGGACTAGGACTGTTCCCTGAAAGGCTAAAAAAACCACAAAAGACTCTCAGTGACTGAAGGAGAACCAGAACGTACCAACCTAAGGTATTTCACTGTTTGCCTGGTGTGATGCGAGACTTGGGTCACTGCAATGACGGGCTACAGGGAGCTGCAGGGAGCCAGGGGCAGCCACAGCTTCTCTGGGCACCCTGTGCCAGGGCCTCAGCACCCTCACAGGGAAGGATTTCTGCCTCCCATCCCATCTCCATCTCCCCTCCTGCAGCTTCAGGCCATTCCCCTTGGCCTGTCACTCCCTGCCCTTGTCAACAGCCTCTCTCCAGCTTTCCTGGAGCCCCTGCAGGGACTGGAAGGGGCTCTAAGGTCTCCCCAGAGCCTTCTTTTTGTTTGGTAGATTTGTATCAGGTTGAATGACATTGAACACACTGGAAGATGGGACGTTGTATGAATGAAGGTGGCACAGAGCTTCCTGCACAGGTTTCCCCACCAACTGTGGCCACAACCAAAATCGCTGCAAACAAAACAAAGGGACTCACTCGATTCTCTTCAGGTTTTGCATTTCCAGCAGGACAGCAGCTAGATTTATCAGGCCTGGATCTCCAATGTTGTTGTGGCTTAAACTTTAAAGAAGAAAAGGAAGGCTGTGTTGTAAAGGAAAATGCTCAGTGTCAGGCAAAGTACAAGATCTCATTTAATGTCTCCCATCTGCTGGATGACACCTCTGACCTCGGCAGCAGAATCAAAGAGCTGCTTGTCTCAACTATCTCATGGAATACTAATGGCTGTTAATGAGGCATTAAAAAAATTACAAAGAGCAATGAAAATCACTGCATCTTGTTAATGGGTGGGAAATTACTTCAGCCAGAATACCAGACAGGCAACAGCTCGTTATTATTTTCCAAATGGAGAATGGACAGAATCTGGCTAGAGAGAGAGAGGAAAAAAGCAGAGCAAGCCTGGCTGTTGGCTCTAGATTCGTATCTTTTCAGAACAGAGAAGTGCTAGGTCCAAGGCTCTCTGAGGAGAGAAGGGGCCCTCTGGCCCTGTTCTGGATCCCAGGGGTTCCGGAGAAGATTTAAATCCAGAGGCTGTTTAATCCATTTTCTACGTGACTGCAGCAGAGTGGGTTAGATCAAATTCTCCTCTTCTGAACATCAAGCTCTGATGTCCTCTAGGCCAAGGTACCTCACACATGAGCATTTTGCAATCTCCCTGCTTTTATTTCAACATCACGTATAAGCACATCTGGAGCTCTCCAAATGTTGGCACTAGTGGTCACCTCTCTGCTGAGGAGAGACTGCAAGAAAGGAGACACTTACTTGATTTCCTCCATGTAGTGCATATTCCTGAACGCTTCTGCGAGTCTGGAGCAGCCATCGTTACCAATACTGTTGTGGTTCAAGCTGGAAACATCATCACCAGGAAAATGGACATTAAGGTAGTGTTACTCAATATCACAAGCCGGGCCAGAGGCGAGCTGCAGCCTCATACTTACATAAGCCTTTTCAGAGATGGCATTTCACGAAGCCCCAGCACAAACTTAGGAATGGCGGCACTGCTGAGTTTCATGTAGCCCAGGCTAAAAGATGAAATAACACAGAACAACTAACTACCCAGACCCATCACGCGAATGCTCAGAGCAGAGGAGAGCAGAACAAGGGTGTAAGAGAAGTGGGAGTGTATTCCAGTCCCTGCGAACAGTTTTCAATTTTGTTCTCTAATGCAATTCTACGAGACATGTTTGGATCCTAATAAAATACCAAGAGAATTCCAAATCTCTGGAGCAAGAACCCAGCCCCTCACAGAGCAAGGTGCCACTGTGACCACGTCTCATGACAGTGACCCACATGGTGCAGTGGCACTTTGCAACAGAACCTTGCACACAGGTGCCTGGAAAAGCCATCTCTGTGTGCAGGCCACCAGTTCATCCTCCAGGAGGGAAATGCTGGCTCTGGGACTGCTGCGTGGGAAACACTGCCTCCCAGCTGGGACAAGACCTATGTAACAAACACTACCAAAACACTGGATTTCTCCACTGGACATGTCCTGCCACAGATCTCTATCTCTCTCACTCATTGTTCATTGCAAATAAAAGGAATTGTTTCTTCTTCCCTATCTGACGTCCTCTAGCCACCGGGAAAACTACATCTGTCCACGGTACAGACAAAGAGAGGCTGCAGATTAACTACAGCTTCTAGAAAGACCTGGCAAACTCTGGACAGCCTGGTAGCAACACACTCACTTGAGCTCTTCAATGGCCTGGCAATTCTGCAAGCCCGTGATCAAGTAATCAATTCCAGTTGGCGTAATACTGCTAGAGGTCAGCCTGCAAAACAGCAAGGATCAAATAAGAAGGTCAGGTCTCAGCACACTGAGGAAGAGGAGTTTACTTCACTGCCCCATCCCAAACCCAAGCCAGCACAGACATCAGGGACTGGTAAGTTTGGAGAGATTTCCACAGCCCTCATGCACAGGACTACGAGGACTAGGTAGTTCAGAGATGTTCACATGATAACATGTACCAAACAGCGCAGTCTCTGCCTGGGCCAACCAACCTGCAGCATTTCACTGGCCAGAGATGCCCTTCACAAGTCTACCTCTCACTTAGAGGCACTTGAAGAGGGCTGCAAAAAGGACTGAATGCTATTCATCCCCAAAAGGCTCTCTAACATAGTAGGGTAGTATAAAATTACCTACAATGTAAACAAGAGCCAAGGGCTCAGTCTCAAATTGCTTTCACTTCAAAAAAGAGGAAGAGGAAAAAATATCAAAACACGCACCCGGTGCCCTGCACCGTCAGCATGAACTGCAGAGGGCTCTTGAGTTCCCAACTGAGACGTGGCTCAGCAGAGGTCACAGACCTCATGGCCATATTCCAGACAGAGTGTTTCAGAGAGGATCAGGGTAAGGCAGAGGGTTGAGCAAACGATAAAGATGTGGGAAAGACCACATCTGGGGACATACCCGAACTTCTTCAGGTCTGGAAGAGGTAGCAAAATCCTGACTAGCATTTCTGCTTCATCATTAAGGAGCTCAACATGGGACCATCTGCAAGAAGAGAACAACAGACGTGGGCTACATCCACTGACGACAAAACGTCTTCACCAAGCCCGCAACTAAAGCACGCCGGTGCTGGGACATTGAAGCAGTGTCACGACATTGAGACTTGACAAGGTCCCATGGGAGTTCCCAGCCACGATAAGACAGTACAGGCTGTCTGGGCACAGGGGAGGTTTAGATGTCTGCAAAGGATACCCCAGGAAGCCACAAGGTCTGTGGGTCTTGTCTATTTTCCATCCAAACACTCTAAGTAGAGGACCCAGAGGACAAGGGTCTGGCCTCTCCCTGCTGTGTGCTCTCTTGCACACACAAGGACATGCTAATCCCTTCCCAAAAAAACCCTCTACAGTTCCTGATTACTCACCTCAATTCCTGAAGCTGAGCACATTTTTCACGAATCCTTTGGTAGAAGCACGCATGCTCGACTTCTGGCTTGTACAGATTCAGTCTGCAGGATACGAACACAACACAACTGTCAGTGATGATCAGCAGACGCCACTGCAGCGTCTGGTGCCCCTTAGGGCCAGGCTTAGGAACAGATCAGAGCTTTGCAAGTGCCCTCCCTGGGCTCTCCTGCTATGTCCCGTCTACACCACAGTCCAGTGTAGAGAAACACAGCCCTTCCCCAGCCGCACGAGAGGACAGCTGCCGCCTTCTTCAGCTATGCAAAGGGAAGACGACACTAATGCTGTTCCTTCTCTACACGTTCATGCAGAAGCCAGCATGTCTTCAAAGTGCTCAGATCTCCTGAATGCAGGAGAAACTGCATCCTGCGGGAAACACGGGTGGATTTTTTTTGCCTCGTGCACATCCAGTACAGGCCTGAGGGAGAGTGGCCTGAAAGACATGCACGTGAATCATGTTCCTTCTGCGTGTGTGTCACGGAGGCACTCTGAGACTGAACCCACGGAGACCAGAGCCTCAGACAAGCTGAAGATGTTTTTCATCCTATGGTGAGTTTCAGAACAAGCAGAAAATAATTGCAAATAGTCACTTTCTCACCTGCTAATGACTGATTCCACCTTCTCCGGGCAGTGTAGGAACCTTACACCTAATTGGAAGAGGGTTTTCTCTTTACATATCCTGGAAAGGTAGAAATTAGAGAACATCATAAGCTTGTGAACTCATGAGGGCGAACAAATGCTATTTTCCAGAAGAAAAATCAGGAGAACTGGATGGCACAGGCCCATGCTGGTGCACGAATGCTAACCACCCATCTCTGAAAGGGTTTGCAATATTTAAACTAGTTCCAAAGTCAGCCTAATCTGGGTATCCTTTCTCCCAAGGGAGACCGGGAACATGGTCTCATTTCCACTACACCTACTAAGGCGTGCGACCGCAAACCTTCTAAGCACTTCTACCCGCCAGACATTTGGATCAAACTTGCTTCACGTTGGCTAACAGCTTACAAATCCACTGGAGACAGAGAATAAAGAACAGAAGAGCAAGTTAAAGTGGTGGCTTGAATCCCATTTCCTTAAAAGTATCGGGCTAAAAGAAAAGATCTGAAAGATACCAGAACTCGAGGTGATCTACTTACGTGATCTCAGTAATGTTTCCACAGGCCTGGACTGCCAGCTCGAGAAGGTTCGTGACACTTTCTTTACGCACCCATGGCTCTTCTATGCTGCAAAGCAGAATATAGGCAGCTCTGCTTTATTCACACACACGGATCCATCTCTCCCTCTGTCAGCTCTCTAATATACTCTGGAGTGGCCCTTGTGCTCTAATGCAACATATTTTGGGTGAAGTGAAGAATTTGTCACTCGGGTGAACTGTGGGATGCTCTGGTGAGACCTCTGGTAAGGACACAGTAGGAACGTGTCCACCAGGATTAGCAGCCTTCTCTGTAAGGCAGGTAGAGGTCTACCTATCAGTTTATGGCCACAGCTTTACATGATGCTGAGTAAGAATCAAGGAGATACAGCTGAAATACCAATAACTTAAAGTCACCCATGGAAATTTCTCAGACCAACACTACCTATCTTTGGAAGAAGCACAGTTCATTTTTGTTTTTGATGAAATGAGATCTTAAATGATCAGACCAGCCTCAGGTCAGTATCTGACCCAGCACAGTGACACAGTACCTGATTTTCAGAGGACCCAGGTTTTTCCTCAGTGAATGCAAAAGTCTCTCTGCAGCTTGGACTGTCACGTTGTTATTTGAGGATCTAGAAACAAAGAAAGATCATTGTAATGAACGACTTACAAACGGGACCAGCCAAATGGTCCAAGCAGGCATTAACTCACCTGTACTCTGTCAGACCAGTGCACTTTTCCAGGAGCAAGCACAACTTTTCCAAGTGGTCTGGCTGAAAGTTGCACTCTGCAAGTCTGAAAGGATGCAAAAGAGAACAGTCTTAGTTCCTTACAAACAATTCAGGCTTTCTGATCCAGAAATCTCAGGCATCACAACCTTTCCCACAGGATGGCACCAAAACCTTAAATGCCTTGCAGGGCTTCCAAAAAAGATTGTGGCAACACTTCAGAAGCATCTGCTGAGATGTTCTGATACGGCATACGTGTATGCTAACGGTGCAGCTCTTTGTAGCACCCTGTCCTGTGACAGGGACTGCAGGGACACCTACAGGTCCCTACGTGAGGAATGGTCAGTGGGGAAGCAGTGAGAGAAAGGGATGTGGGGTTCTCTGTGACGTGAGAAAGCTCTTTTCAGAAGGTGAATCAAAGGAAAAGTATCATCTATTGGTGTAAAGTATCACCGTCCCAGGAGCGAGGAGGTACAAGAAGTTTTGTCAGCCTTGTCCCTAGAAAAAGGACAACATCTTGTCAAAGAAATCACAAAAAAATACCTGTACCATTACCTCAAAATCTTTCTTGGGTCATCTCTGCTTGTCAGCTTGATGATTAAAGTTGCTTTGGAGCACAAACTGCACAGAGAAGACACATCAGTATAAGATTTGGAGTGAAAATGACTATTTTTCCCAGCAGTCAGAATTTAACAATACTTCAAGCTGCACAAAGAAACACAGTGACAGAGCTACCTGGTGCAGCTCACCTCTCCCTACAATAAACCAGCCTAGGGAAATGCTTCAGTAAGATTTTGCTAATGCTAAGTTGGCATAAGGCAGCACTGGTGGCTGGAGAAGCAATCCTGATCTGCTCTGATTTCGTCTGTCTCCTCCTGTCCCTGCGTTCTCTGCTCCGCTGCCAAGCTCTGGGAGAGCTGAAACAGAAGATTGATCTGCTTTAAACTAGCCCAGCCAAAAGATTCAGCAAAAGTGACCCCGGTTAAATTTGGTTCATGACAGATCAACTGCTCTATGTGAACATAAACATGGATAAGGGCAGATCTGAGGCATGGCCCAGCCATGAGACTTGAATCCGTGAGAAAGAGCAGTTCATGCCAATGCAACAAGCCCAGAACCATCGGGCTATTTTTGCCAGAGAGGAAAGGAGATAAAGACACAAGTCCAAGCAAAAGAACATCGGAAGTTGCTTTCAACCAACTCACTCTGAAATCTCAACGTACTGAAGTGAATTAGGGACCACAGATTCAGCGAGCAAATGCTGACTCTTGCCCTGAAGAGGTTCATTTACAGATTCATACATGACAACAATTTGTACTGCTGAATACCTCTGTCTTTATAGACAAAAACAACTTGGCCCTGTGGAACAACTGTTCTGCTAACTTCCTCCTTGGCAGCTACATTTGGCCAGTAGAAAGGGACATAAAAGCTTTGCGTCCGCATATACAAAAAGGTAGTTGAAAATGTGGCCCTTATAATTATTACCTGAAGATCACAAACTTTATGATAAGAGGAAAACATGCAGGGAAGAGTCAGGAATTAGTAAGGAGAAAACACACCTGACTTGAACTTCCATGGTATTTCCAGATGTCGCAAAGGCATTTACGAGATGCAGAACTCCATCCTGAGAAATCCTATTATGGCTGAGACTGCACAGAAGAGAAAGAAGGTTTTTCAGGTGTCAAGAGTCAGGGTTTTCCCCAGGCTCCTCAGCCACAGAGGCAAAATTCAAGTGGCCGCCAAAGGCAGAACAGTTTGTGAGGTGCTGGGCCCTTTTGGCTGTGCCAAACGCACCGAACCCCTCCAAGACATGGCATTGCTGATCTGGGTGACACGACTAACTTCCAGCTTGCCCCTTGCACTACAGAGGCAGCCGACCGCTGGAGCAGCTGCTCCCCCATCAGAAAGAGAAAGGGAGAAGCTGGTGTAGGGCACAGCTAAACTCACAGCACCCACGTGCCTTCAGTTATTCAAAGAGGACGACGTACACAGAAAAGTGATGAACTGAAAACTCAGGGGACTGGGTCAACCTGTGCCACGTTACTCCACTCAGGGCCTTCTTATCTTCTGCTGATGCTAACAGAAAGACTTCTACCTACTTCAGCAGGTTTTGGATCAGACCCTGAGTCACCCTGGTCTTGAGCTGCGCTCGTGGCTCACTCAGACCTCAGGTCCTAGGGCAGGGGTGGACAAGAAGCAGGATAACCAGCTTCGGGGGGCGATCGCGCGAACACCTTTCTGCTAGGGCCTCTCAGGTTCAGAGTATGCTTTCGTACTTGAGCGAACAGGTCACAGGCGCTTGATGCAAGTGGTCCAAGAGGCACCGCAGGCCTTCATCTCCCATCTGAGTCCTGGAGAGGCTGAAACGCAGAAGAACAAGGTGGCAAATCAAAACTCAGCATTTTAAGCAGCATTTTAAGAAGATTTGAAGGAAAAAACCCCAAACTTCCTGGACTTAAATCCCATCTCAGCCATTAAAAGTCTGTCTAGAACAAACCGCTACCTCATGCACAAGCTCCAGAGCAAGCTCAGATGAACTTTGTGCTCAGAGCGGAGCTCAGATGAAGCCACAAATGCCTCAAAACAGCCACGGAATGAAAGTGGAAATTGTCCCACTAGCTCAAGCCCTCTTAAAATATATATATAAAGGACCTGTATGTTACTAATCAATTTTGTTTCTAAACAAACACACATACATGCAGACAGGCAATGCTGAATCGTGCCAACCCTGCTCTCCCTCAGTGACTCCTGATCAAGGTCATGGCGACAACGCAAGCCCCACACACTCTACCTCCGCCAGCCACCCACGCTGCTCCAGGACTTTGCAGAGCTCAATCTACCAGCCCTTGACCGATGGCACAGTACGTCAGCCTGCACACGCTGTCGAGTGCGGCAGGATGCCAGATCCCTGCAGGGGCAGAGCTGTGAGATGTTGACCATGCACACGGGTGGTGTGCTGTCACCACGTGTCAACGAACAAGTCCTGCATCTGTTGTGGATGCTGCAAGTCATGTTCCATGGGACCTGCTAAGTGAGGAGTATCTGGGATGCTGTGCCTTTGGTGGGTATTTCTCCTCCTGACCTTCCCCCCGCCCTCTATGTATCATTAAAGAAAAAAGGGTTCAGTGCTGCTTTGGTTCTGGAAACAAGGTAGGAATGGGTGTGAAAGAGTTTCTGCATTTTCTTTGCCTAGCTTGTTAATCTACAATTACTGATTAATGCTCCTAAGATATGTTGTGGTTTTAACACTTTCCAAACCAATGTTTCATGGCAGCAATCAAAGCAGGGACCCCAAACATTACCTCAGCAGCGTCAGGTGACAGAGGTATGGCAGGAAGCTCAGTAATCTCTCAATGCTTTGGTCACTCAATGAATTTCCAGACAGACTGTAAAACATAGAAGAAAACAAATTCCAAGAGAAACTGGGAAAATCTGTAGGTATTTCTATAAAATCTACATGGATATGCACACACACATGTGCATGGGGGTGGTACGGGCAAGTTCTGAAAAAGGATATGCCTGAAATGCCCTGAAAGTTGAGTGAGATTTAGTCTTTATAGGCCAATTCCTATGAGGGTTTCTCTACATCCCATAACCAATCAACATCTCAGTTTCGAGAGTCACACTTTTCCATTACTCTAAGTTTATAAAATGATGCTACTGACATATTTCCTGCATGCAATATGGATATTACGTTATTTTTATTTATCATTACTTCGTTTCTGTTCCGAGCAGTATTCTTCTAAGTGCCCAGCTCCTGTCTGGAGTGTGTTTAGTTTATGGCTATACTGCAAGCCAGGGTCTCAAGGAGGAGATGAGCAGATGACAATACTTGTGTCTAGCCATATGATTGAGGAAGAGTATGAGAACACATATGTGTTCTGGGGTGTTTACATACAGACATGGTAGACTCAGGAGAGGCCAAACGCTGAAGCAGAGAGGGCGGTGGAAGGTGTGGGTTTATCTAAGCATCTGGGTTGTTTTGCAGGGGTTTCCAGGAGGCTATGGTGAGAGGAGAGCCGATTTACACTAGCTGCTAACCTGAACACCAACTCCGTGGGCTGGGGAGACAGACAAACAGACAGGGTGGCCAAGCGCGCAACACTTACTCAATTTCTGTCAGCTGGGGACATTGAGCCAGTATCTGGCACAGCCTGGTCATGTCCTCTGGACCCACTCTGCAGTCCCTGAGACTGAAGAAAACAAAACACTTGGGAGATTAACTTTTCCCACGACTGTGGTATGGCAACACTCTCTTCATATTCCAGAGTCTCAAGTCTTAGAACAAGGCCCATAGCAATCCTCTCGCTTCCACTACATAGATTCTCCTACCCGCAGTCTAGGACTGAGAAGTCAAAATCTGTGATGAGCAGAGGATTTTACCAGCCCTGAGATGATTCAAGAGAGCCAGGCCACCAAAATGCCATGGTATTTTGTGTGTTGCCTCCCTAAAGGCAGATCATTGGTACTTAAATTGTCTCTGGAGATTGGACAGCGTCTTCCTCTGCTCAGCACTGTCTCAGCTCTCCCACAGCAAGGCTGGAACATTGCCTCCTATCTCCTTCTCGAAGAAGGAAATCACAGAAACCTCCCTGGGTGACAAGCTGGCAGGTCTCCATGGGACAAATGTAGTAGCCAGACAGGTCTGAATCTCATTATTATTATACCCATTATTTTATTATGGGTAGAAGCTTCCCCTGCAGGAAGGCAAGACAATCCTTACGAGCCTGGCCAAGCAAAAGAGGCACTATTTATTTTCGCATACACATCTGTAGCAGCGGACATCCAACGTCCATCCCAAGAGGGTGTATTGTTCATCCAGCCGCCTCTGGGACACAACCATGTCCCTCCAGTGACCACAAAGCACAGATACCTGCTGGCCTGGGTTGATGCCAGCCGGCCCAACCTCTTCAAGGCTTTGCCAAATTACACCAGCCAAGACCTTCTCTCTTGTAACCAAGTGTTATTTTGAGGTCTCGCCTCCCTGACCAGTTTCAGCAGGGGAGAAGATGGTAGAAAGATACATTAGAGATGGATCTCTTCCAGAGGTGTCTCATCATGGGACACAAGCAGAGGAAAGAAACCTCAGCTTTCCAAGAGAGCCAAGTCTGCCTCTGAAGGCAGGCAGGGCACAGGACAGCTCTCTGAGGAGACACAGCTGGAGGGACAGGTCTGGTCCACACATCCCGCTACGGATACAGACCCCTCAGCTGTCTCTCCCTACACTCCTGGGTGACAGAAGGAAGCTGGGGCTGCCATACCGAAAGCACCATCCTTTTGCTACGTGCTCGGGATGCGCCAGGAAACTGCTTCTCCATCTGCTGGTACTTCTGGCCCTGGGGAAAGAATGGTTTACCCATGAGCTGGACCGATGTTATTGCCCCCGTGTAGCTGACTCCCCATGCTGCAGCTGGGGAAGAGGGTGAGGTGGTGGCAGTGGCCTCACGCTCCACTCTGTCTTTTCTCACCACCATCCCCAGAAGAAAAAGGACCTTATCACCCCTCTTCCAGCCTCCAGAGAGCTCTGCATCCCCTCAGCTCTGGGCGGTTGCTCTGACCTGACCTGGGAGGGGGATGATTGCAGCCCTGGTCAGCAGTGGGGTACTGTCGTCTGCTCCATACCCTTGAGCCTCTGTCCATCAGCCATGAAACAGCTCACCCTGCTCCCACCACCCCGACTGGAGTTTGGAGCCACCTCAAGGACTCACACATCACCATCTATTTAAGATTTCACAAGGAGGAATTTGAAAGGCTTAGACAGATGAGCGGGTATGATTTTACCTGATCCTTTCCCAAAAGGTCAGATGAACCACCTGCCTGTGTCCTAAGCTGTAAGCAGAAAAGAACACAATTAGGTTGGAGTTTGAAGACACATGCTCCTGTATCACTCCTCAAAAACCACAGGTTAAGGTTTTAAATAGTAAAAAATGGGAGAAGTACTCCTGGTCATACCTGAGGTTCATTGTTTTAATGTGTTCCAATGTAGATAAGGACTGAGCTAAGAAAAACACAGACTTCAGGGAGATCTGGTTGTCATTAAGCCTACAGGAAGAAAAGATTAAATCAGCTGCTTCAAGCAAAACTACTTGCAATTTACACTGTGTCACGTGATAACAGTGATCCTTCTCTTCAGAGCCTGCTGCTTTGCCACCTTCTGTCTGTGTTTTCAACTACAGTTCTGCAAACACAACTCACTCCAGTATTTTTTTAAATTCACCCCTCACTTTTAGAGTTCAGAGAATCACAGAATAAGTAAGGCTGCAATGGACATCTGGAGATGATCTAGTCCAACTCTCCTGCTCAGAGGAGGGTTAGACTAGAGCAGACTGCTCAGACATTGTCCAGCTGGGTTTGTAATGTATCCAAAGATATCTCTCTGGGAAACCCATTCTAGCGATGGACCATGCTCACCACACAAGTTTTTTCTTACAGTTAAATGGAATTCTTTGTATTTCAGGACATCAACACAAGGCAAAACCAGCTCTTTGGCTGTAAGTACAGTTGTGGCAGTACAAAACCCACACTAACTAAGACCGTGCTCAGGTCTGTTAGGTCTATCACAGTATCTACTGTGACTGTGGGCAGAGTGTTTGATGCTGGGAAAAAAACCAAACAGATAAATAACAGCCGTGTGTTTCATTGCACTGATGTGAAAAGAAGCTGCAGTTGTCAGTAACTGGAACCGTCTTGGCTTGAGAACAGCTCAATTAATCAAACAGGAACAATAAATATCTCTTTTGATAAAGCAGAATGATGCTATAGTCCTTAAGCCATATTCCTGTAGGGTGCAGTGGGAGTGCCAGGTAAAATACCCAGATAAACATGAGCCACCATTGCAGCTATATTCAGACTCCACTACTGAAGCTGTGGCTCCCCAGCATTTATCTTCCAAAGATGCCCACCCCAGGAGAGGAAGGACTGCTCTCCGTCCGATGAGGAAGCAGGAGAGGAAAAATTCAGTGGCCTGCTAAAGATCTCAGCCTATTTTAGACACCAGGTGCCACACCGGCACACAAGACCTCTTGTCTCCTTCATGGAGGACTGAGACACAGCCTCTCAGGCAGTGACCTCGATCAAGCTTCACGTGGAGTCAATCTGTTCTGGACTAGAGGTGGGGACAGACCAGATAGCACAGTGGATCCTCCCTCAACAGACACAGCATATAACTTCACTTGATCCTGAACAGCCTTTCCCAAACACAGACTGTGCTCCCACAACCAATACTCCCACAACAGCCAATCCATGAGTAAGGAGAAACAGGAACTACTCACTTGAGAGAACTTAACATTTTCAAATTCGGGAGGAACAGAAACAGCTGCAGAAGTCCCTCATCTCCTAGGTTATTATTTGACAGACTAGGATTTAAAGAAAGGCATTTAATTTTCATAGAAAAAAAAAACCCACAAACAAACAAGAGGTACAATTAGCTTTTAGTAACTAGAGCTCTGAAAGCAGAACACGGGCACCCTAACCCAAACAACGTGCACCGTCCCTCTCCACTGACAACTAAAGCCTACGGGGAAACCAGAGACTGGAATTATCCAACCTGGGACAGCCAGAAGCCCAGCTCGGGGCTTGCCCTTTTCTTATGCCCACCAAGTGACCTCTCTGGACTGACGGTGCTTTTTAATGCAGTTACCAGGGACCAGAAGTCCACAGCTCTGAGAAATGATCAGCCTGGACAGGCCCAACAGAAGAGCCATGGGTTAGTCCTGGAGAAGGATATTAGGCTCTGATATTGGAGCCTGAGGATTACAGTGGGCTGTGGCCCATGTGAGATCAAGGGACATGACTGCTTAAGAAGAGCAAGGCTAAAAATCTCTTCCACAGGCTACCAGGCCAAAGGGAATAGCTAGCCCTCAGGTGGTGGTACATAGACTATATAAAATGCTTGTGCTGGTCCTTGTTTTGCCCTCAAAACCTAGACGTGAGGGTGTGTGTTGGCTAGCCTTTCTCTCAGGGCTGGGCCTGCTCACCTCTCGGTACTAGCAAACAGGATGACTCCCCACACACAGCACTAACAGAAGAAAGCGCTTTGGTGCTGAAGGTCCTTGCACACCACATGTGGGGTCACCAGCAAAAGCACAGCATGCCACCCTCATTTTAGGTGGGATTCTTCATGCTCTGCAGCTTTGCTCCCAAATGGCCCAAAGGCAAAAATGACAGGGCAAGGTTTTACAGCTTTTGTAATACCTGAAGTCAGGCTAAGTGATCAAATAGTCCCTTTCCAGATTTATATCCTGCAACCTTTGCCCTATGAGAGCACTAGAACTGTATGTCTCCTTGGCAAAGGATATTAGCCCATGTAAAGCTATGCCTGTCATAAGGCTATGTCTCTGCCGCATTTTCCGTACAACACTGCAGAACAAAAAAGTGGCATTTTCTCAAAATCCCAAAGAACTGCAGCTAAAGACCGTAAGAGTTAAGAAAGGCTCACTCCAGCTCGGAGATGCTGCTACTTTTCTTCAGGACTGCACACAGCTTCTCCAGGTCACTGGCTTGAAAACGACTGTCTGTCAGTCTAGGGAGAAAAAGAAATCAATAGTCCAGGTCTGCAGGACTGCGAACAAGATTGTAAACTTCACTCCTTCAGAAAACCAGAGAATAAATGAAGACATAATAATGAAAAAAAAAATCCCCTTACAATAGCTTGGGGGGTGTTTGAGGTTTTTTTTGGTTTTTTATCTGCAACAACTCCTAATCTGTACTCTCAGCTCTTGTCTGCAAACAGAGAAGGTAAAGAAAACTTGTGGCACAACAAAGAACCAGGTCCCCAAGGTCCTGGTTAGAAGGCTTTGGGTACAACTTCTTCCTTCCTCACTGCACCCTACAAAACAGACAGGCGCACTCTGTGCTAGAGGCAGCGCATGCTCTGACACGCATCGGAACACGGGTCCAGCTTAGGATGCATTTCTCCAAACAACAGTAAAGAACCACCCAACCCACAAGCTCTGTCACCACCAGCTCCACCAGCTCCCACGTGGGAGCTGACACAGTAACCACACAATCACCACACCAATTCTGTAAAAGAGACAACCTGCAATCTGCTTGGACTCCTGTAGAAGACCACAGATGCTAACCACAGAGTGCTGCATGCTGAATACAGTAACACCAGCTCTGTTGTGATTCCCCACTCAAACTTGGAGATGCAGGTTACATCAGCGATAGGACCCAGAGACAGGACATGCATGAAATGCAATGAAAATTTGCCATGGTACCTTATTTTTTTGGAGGTCGTAGGTCTCTGGTGTTCCTTTCCATATTGATGCTCATCAGTAGAGAACAGAGGCTCTTCCCTAGTAAGTGAGCACAAAACCAGACAAGGGTAAAACACTTACGCTTTAGCAATCTGGCAGGACCCTGGGGTCCCCTGGCTCTAGCCCACACCTGTATCTTGCCAATAGCAAGTTCTTCTTCCCTTCAGTGATTAACCAAATACTCGAGAGTGCAGGGAACTGGGGAGAAGGAGAAAAGACAGATTGCCCATCTAAGCTACAGTTTGATGGAGAGTTCAGCTTTTGCCTAAACATATTTTGTCCAAAGAGCCCGCATCTATGCAAAAACTATTCAAAAAATAAATGGAACATCCAAATCCTAAAATATCTGAGTTTAAAATGTCGCCTGGAGTCACAGATCACATGTCTCAGGCTGTCACTCTCTTTCAAGCATAGCCACAACAACTGGGTTGCATCCCATGAGAGTGCTGCTGTTCCTCTCCAGCTAGGAGGTGGGATGCAGGTTTACTGTGGGAAATGCTATTTTACAGTGGGCTCAGTCCATGGAGAACAAGGACATCAATAAATGAATCTACAGCTCCAGGAGCAACAGGAAACCATTTCTCAAACAAAACATTTGAGTTGAGCTGTTTCGACCCAGAATGTTCTGAGGGGAAAAACAAAACTCCAAATTCATTTTGATTGAGGAGTACAAAGATCCAGAATGCACAGTGTAGTGAACTAGACTGTTTTAAACATGCAGGGATCTGGGAATCTTTTGGAAATTTGGTTTGGAGGTGTGAGGTTCACTTTGTGGTTTTTTGGGTTTTTTTTTTTATTTTTTACTGCTCACTGTTATCAGATAGCACAGCTGTTATTAAACAGCCTGCTTTGCTTATGATGCTGTGGGTTGAAATGTCCCCTAGGGACATAAAACATAATCAAACACAACAGAAGGCAGTGGGCAACTTCCAAAGTGGCTAGGAAAGCAGAAGAAAGTACTGCCTTTAGATTCAGGAGGAAGGAGCGGCAAGGACTGCTGTAAGATGAACCGTTACCCTTGGTAACCTAAACAGGAAGTAAGAACTAAAGGAGATGCTGAGAAAACACCCTTTGTGCACACACACTCTACCTAGGAGGAGGGGATGCAAATTCTCTGTCTTCTGCAAACCTCAGGACTGCAGTCTGACGACAAAGGCTGTGGAGAAGGAATCAATCAATGTCACATTTTGGTTATTTACAGGACTTCTTGTTTTAAGAACGCTTGATTTTGCTGTTCAAAATGCTGTGGTGACACCAATCACTTATAACACTCCCAAAGCAAGCAAAAAATAATCTCCCTTGGTTTTAAATCCCGGTTGGATCAAACTACGCAATATTGGATTACCCAGTTTCTCTGAACCATTAGAGAAACTGCAGACAGAATTGTTACACTTGAACTCCAGGGGTTTTCCAAGGGCAAGTAATAGGAGGAGAACTTCCTGCTCCACTCCAGGAGATGTCACCAGTTCTCATACTCCACAGAGACCCTCTCTGCAAAACCTCCCAGGGCAGACAGCACGAATGAGTCTAAAACTGCCCCCACGCATGAAAGGACACAGTTCTGCACCTTCTAAATTCTGGTCGATGGCTCAGATAAAATCAGCTTACAGCAGCGTATTACCAAGCGTCAGTGTTAGTAACCATCTGTGGACATGTTCTTCACCTGCCCCGCTTCTGAAGCAACTCAACAGAAAACTCAGAACCTAACTCTCAGACTTGTATATTGGGATTAACCTCAGGAATGATTCAAGACCTACATACCTGACTTGCACCTCCATCATCTTCTGGCAGGTATTTACTGACTTCAACAGACTGCAAATGCCATTAACAGAGAGGTGGTTTTGACTGAGACTAAGAAAGAGAAAAAAGGCAATTAGCTGGTCCCTGAATGGTTTTAATGAAAGGGCGCTGCAGCACTTTGGAAGCTTTTAAACCAGTTTCCGTGCGTGATGCTCTGAGCAAGTGCCAACTTCAGCCTAACAGTCTCATGAGCTGAGTCTCATCCTTCCTTAAGAGTGCTCAGAGCTGCTTCTGCAGCACTGGGCTTTGTCTCCTGGATCCCTACTCAGCATCTCTGTAGGGTCCTTGCCAGGCTCAAGAAAAGAGGGCAATTTCATAGAATCATAGAATCATTTTGGTTGGAAAAGACCTTTAAGACCATCAAGTCCAACCGTTAACCTAGCACTGCTAAGATCACCACTAAACCATGTCCCTAAGCACCACATCCAATTTGGTTTTGTACAAGGCACACTTACTCCAGCTGCTTTGAAATTGATATCCAAGGGAGGCTTTCCAGCAGGCAACTGCAGCCTTTGTCTCCAAGCTTGTTACCTGATAAACTGAGGTATTTTCCAGTTAGTAGGGAATATTTTGAACAGTATAAGCAACAAAGCCCTCAAAATCTCCTTGCTTTCCCTTTCCCACAATTGTGGGGTTTTTTTGCCTGGACTGTTCTTCTGGCCCAGATCAATCTTCCCTGCTTATCTCTGCATGAAGCAACTTCAGACAAAGAGTTTTATCCCTAGGACAATGCGATTCATGCTTTAGCCCCAAAACCATCTTACTTTAGAAAACCTAAGTGGGAGTACAAAACAAGTAACCAAATGAGTGAGTGTCTACTGTACTCCTGGAAGGAAGAAAGGAAGGCAGAAAACACTGGATGACAAAGATCTCCAGATCCCAATTCAAATCAATGAGCTAGAAAACAAGGGTTTGAGGTGTAGCTAAATTCAAGATTCAGTCCAGACTGAACTGTCTTGCAACAGATATTCCTGCATTTTCCAGGGCAGACAGGCAAGAAGGAGAGCTTTACAGCTGAATCCAGGTGGCCTCAGATACAGGCAAACAAGGAAAGGTAGGGACAATACTCATTGCAATGTGCAGGTTATGATGTGGATCCTTCACTCCTCCCAACAGAGCTGGATGGCTTTAGAAGATGAAAGGGACAACACAGAAGCTGGCTCAGAGGAGTCGCTGGAGGAGCTGTGCCTCCTTACGGCCTCCAGCATGCAGCACTGCTTGGTTAGCAGGGTCTGCTCTGCAACTGGCATTTCTGGTTACCGTCTGAGGAAACCAGAGGCTGCAGATGTCACAGGAATCGAAGGCTGGTCAGCATTCATCTCCTACTGAACTTCACCAAAACTCCCTAACCAGGGTCCCACCAGACACAACACAGAGTGCTGGGACCCCTCCTCGGGGTCAGGCCCTACGTCTCACTGCCCTCCACACATAACATCCCCTGCTCCCTGCCACCCGCCTGCAGCCACTTGGTGAGAAGGGAAAGGAAGGACACACTTACTTCACTTCGGAGAGACAGGGACAGCTCTGGAGAATGTCAACGATCGCCTCTGCATGTTGGGGAGACAGACTGCAGTCCTGCAAGCTGTGAACAGGAAGGGTTAATGAGCAGTGAGGGGACAGTGGGGCCCGGGCACTTCTGGTGTCTCTTTAAACAAGGGCAGTACCAAGAGAGGGAGGTTTTACTCTCTGCTCTGCCGCACAATCCTGGGCACATTACTCCATCTCTCTGTGGCCAGCGCTGCAAAAGGAGCGCAGAGGGACACACTTGCAGTATGCTGTGCAAGCGCAACGCCTTGTGCGAGAGCCGCCTGACACCGCCATCCACAAGAAGGAGATGGATGGTCTCTTTAAACAAGGGCAGTACCAAGAGAGGGAGGTTTTACTCTCTGCTCTGCCGCACAATCCTGGGCACATTACTCCATCTCTCTGTGGCCAGCGCTGCAAAAGGAGCGCAGAGGGACACACTTGCAGTATGCTGTGCAAGCGCAACGCCTTGTGCGAGAGCCGCCTGACACCGCCATCCACAAGAAGGAGATGGATGTACTGCGCAGAGCAGTGAGGTAAAGAGAAGGAGCTAAGGGAGGGCCATTTCACAGCTTTAACATGTTCAGATAACATGCCTGAGTTCTATTTTGAGAAAGCCAGTACCCTCTTCCAGAGCCCAGGCAAGAAAAAAACCTGTACGGCTCATGCCTTTGGTAGTTATAAGCATATATGGCATTATCAAGGGAACTCTGCCTCTCTAGGGCTGTAGAGCCCAACACACAAGAAATGAAGCCACTGGCTGGGCCAAATAGGGATTTCTAGTATTATTTTTATTTACTGATTCAGGTTTATTTCAAACTTTTTCATATGCGGAAATATCCTCTGTCCCTATGGACCAACACAGCTGCTATTCTTGTCCTTCTGTAGTACCTGGCATCTGCAAATCACATGCACTTATTTCAATGCCTTCTCTTACCATAACTTCACGTGTCTAGTTGGAATGACATGTTCTTTATTCTCTTCCCACATCAAATCCAAAGATCTGCAAACAAGCAAAATATTTGGCCTTTAATATGCCTTCAAAAAATATTTGATAACTTAGGCAGTGGTTAGTATTTTCTGGAGGTTTTCTGGAAGAAACCACAAGGTCTGCGTTCAGTCCAACCATTCCATGCAAGGTAAAGTGATTTTCAAGAGCCAGTGACCTCCATCAGAAGATGGGAGCACAGGGGGTGTCCACACGGGATTTCACTGCATATTTGAATCAACTTGATAACTGAGCCCCAGTTTAAAGGCACTACTAAGATGCAGGATGTTTTGTCTCCACGTGGGATTGTGCCACAAAGGAAGGAATAGACATACCCACCCGCGCCAGGCTGCCTACAACAGCACAAGCCGACTGTCCAGGCATCTGAACAGGAGCGATTTCTAGTCAACTCAGGGCCAAGCTGAGCCAGTTCACACAAGCATGCAAAATACTGTGAGGTCCCTCAAGGACTGCACAACACAGGGCAAAGTGAGTTCCCCATCAGGGAACAAGAGGTTGTTTCATACTTTCTCATTTAAGGTCAAATTCACACTTCCCTCAAAAGTATGCACAAGCAGGGAGAACACAGAAGCCAGCCAGAGAAGGAGCAAAGTCTTCTCCTTTATTTATCCTCACGTTCAACTGTTTTTCCAGCAGTTTTGCAATAGAAACACAGCACTTCAAGCTTACGCAGGCACTAAGGCTCTGTCTTTGTGGAACTGGCTGGTAGGTCTGGGCAAAGACCAGTTAGTTTGGCTCCCTTTCTCCTTGCTCAGGAGGATCCAGCTCTGCCAGATGCAAGGGCAGAGGTAACCAGTTCTGTTGCTGGGGCGGTTTATACTGACACCAAGCTGATGGTTTGCATCAGCATAACTCTGAACATAGCATAACCCCAAGTGCAGTTTCTCACCTTGGAAAATTCCCAGATGGGCCAGAAAAACACATAATCACAGTGTCCTTCCTGAAAAAGAGATCCAAGCCAATGTTAGGGCACAGGGGGAAGGATGCCGTTTCTTTAGCAGGGGTGCTCGGGAAGGACCAAAGCTGTTGCCTGGGTACTAAGGAGGGTTCTGATATCTGCCATGGTAGCACATTGCCACGGGCAAGCAATTGAGCAGCCACATGGCAGCAGGACACCCCGAATGTTGAACTGAGGCTGCTGTGCAGACAAGAGACTAACACAGTTAAGAAAATTGGGCTGGGATTTTTTTGTTTTGTTTTGCAACATGAGCAGTTTGTTGGAAAGAGTTTCAGCAGAAACTCCATTCCAACAAGAAAAATAAGAAAAATCTACATGCAATGTGACTTCCCTTGAGTTACACCAAGGATTAATTTGGCCTGTTAAACTTACAATGTCAGATGACCATAAGAAGAGCTAGGGTTTAAAAATTCTACCCTTTCTCTGTCATCCTGGACCTACGAAAACAGCAAAACTTGTAATTTAAAGGAACATAGAGCTAGAGCTACTTAAATCCACATCTTTACAGTAAACTTAACTGATTTATAGTAAATTTATGCTAGCTAGTAAAGATTTTCCTGGCTGATATATTGCAGAGCTTAAAAGCAAGTTTAAATTCTTATATAAGAAGAAATATTACACCCTGCAAATCAATTTATAGACCAAGGATAAAATAACCTATTAAAAAAATACAAAGAGGAAGTCTGTAATATGATGAATTCAAATTTTGTTTCAAACAGAAAACAAAAAGGATTAAAATTAGTTTTTGTTGACTTTGATTAGCCAACAATTCAGCCGTGAACCGGTGTCCATTTAAAAAGTCAACATCTAAAGAGACAGCATATTTGCATTTGTAACAGCTCTCAAGCATTGATACCTGACAAGCAGTTCAGTAGCATTTTGACACGCAATGACTTCCTTTGCCAAAATGAGAACAGCATTCAAGGACAGATCGTTGTTGCTCAGACTGTGAACATGAGGAAGAAGGCAACCTCAGCTGCTGGACCCAACAGCACACTCTGTTGTTACGCAAATGCCCTCTGCTCTGCACCCAAACACCTTGAAGCACACAATCTTTTAGTTATGGGATTTCTCCAAAACTTCAGAATTTTGCATTTAGGACCCAAGAAAAGCACTATCAGATCATAGTTCTTCTCTGCAAGTTATAGCTCCCATGAATTTGGAATCAGATTCTTCTGTGTGCAACAGGAGAATCATTAACCATTTTTGGGTTAGGTAGGGAACGTACTTTATACCTGTATGATTATACAACTGACCCACAGTGCAGTTAAACTCTTGCTATAACAAGTCCAATTTAACGATAGAGCCACAGAATCCCAGACTGGTTTGGGTTGGGAGGGACCTCACAGCCCATCCAGTCCCATCTCCTGCCATGGGCGGGGACACCCTCCACTAGCCCAGGGTGCCCAAAGCCCCATCCAACCTGGCCTTGAACACTGCCAGGGAGCCAGGGGCAGCCACAGCTTCTCTGGGCAACCTGTGCCAGGGCCTCAGCACCCTCACAGGGAAGGATTTCTGCCTCACATCCCATCTCCATCTCCCCTCCTGCAGCTTCAGGCCATTCCCCTTGGCCTGTCACTCCCTGCCCTTGGCACCAGCCCCTCTCCAGCTTTCCTGGAGCCCCTTTAACAGGGACTGGAAGGGGCTCTAAGGTCTCCCCGCAGCCTTCTCTTCTCCAGGTTGAACAACCCCAAATGATGAGGATTTAAATTCTCTCTGATGCTATGCTTCACTTCATAGTGACTACCATTTTTAATAGATTTAAGCCATTTTTACTCACTTTATTTTCTTCAGCTTTTCCATTCTGGAAAACAGGTCCATCACCCTCTTCACGTCTAGATCCCGTACCCGATTGTCCTGCAAGCTGCACACATTCTCATTACTACCCCAGGCCCCAAAGGAACGAGTGGTTGATTCGAGGGTCATTGCCACAACACACTCACTTTATTTCCTCGAGCTGGTGGCACTGTGATAAAGCCTGGACCAAGTTAGACATCCCCTCAGCTGTCATGCTCCCACCTGTCAGCCTGGAAAAAGAAAGAATCATTCCAACCGAGCAGAGGGAGGACTGGCATCCCGTGCAGCACATGGCAAGCCTGTCTTCTCGGATGTGTGCTTGCACTGCACTCCCAGCAGGCCAGCACAGAGAGGAGATGGCCTGACTCTGCCACCTGCAACTGTTATACTCCTCTGCAAGCAGGGCAATGCAATATTGCTCTTCATACTAGCATAAAACAAGAGCCACACATATCCACACTGCTCTGTATAGCACTGCGTCACTCTCTATACAGAGCTGCACGGAGCAGATGTGAGCCGAAGTAATTAAACTACAAGATATAAACAGAGGACAGATAGAGAAGGCTCTGACCTTAACAAGCAAAGACTTACGCCAGTTTCTTCAGGCTCCCCATCCCTTGTATGCTCTTTGAAAGAGCAGCAGCAAAGTCATCGCCACATCTCCTACTACGAAAGCTAAAACATGAAAAAAAAGAGAAAAGACATAAACACAACACAAACTGAAATAAGCTGGCCCAGAGCAGGTTAAAACATGGTTAAAAAAAAAAAAAAAAAAGTGTTGAATTTCTTTCTTAACAGCCATTGCATCATGCTCTTTTTTGCAGCATCTTTATCTTTTCAAACATCTGTTAAAAAAAAAACCCACAAAACAAAACATTAAACTTGCACATCAACTGGAAATATCTCAAGAGACGGCTTCTGCCTTTTGGTACAGTGACACCATGTGTAAGTGCTGCTGGAGATGAAGAGTCAGCCCCATTGCATGTCCCACCAGACTCAGGACCCTGGAGACAAGGGAGGCCACACAGGGGCAAATCAAACTCATACAAGCAGAGAGTGTCTAACAGCTCCCACATAATGAGCTGCTTAATTATGAGAGGGTTGATTTCAGGCCAGATACTTTAAATTTGGGTGGCAGAGTAGCCAGAGTTCTCCCAAATGTAAAAGACACGAGGTTTACAAGCGTTTTAGGGAAAGTATCTCTTTTACAGAAGGAATTGGTGGTGTTGGAAAAAGCGGATAAACAGGTAATTTTTCAGGAACCCAAGCTCTCCTTTGGACCAGCTGCGAGACGTACCAATTACGGGATGTACTGGCACAAAGCCCCTGGGTTGCATAACTCCCACAACATGTTCAGGGGCCATGAGAGCAGAAGCCCACCTATGGCCTCGTTGCCCCAAGAGCCTCTGCCGCCTTCCCCTAAACCAGGAGGAGTCAGGAACAAGGCACAGAGGTGCGGTGGCATGACGGATGTGGCCCGCGGTCATTAGGAACGTGCCTGAGGCCATGCCGCTTCTTTAGACAGGTTCTATACAAGCAACTCGCAGCTGAAATGCTTGGGGTGCCACTGCCCTTTGCCCGCCCTTCCAATAGACAGTACTCAGAGTGCTCGTACCCTGTGGACCGTAAAGGCACAGACTTGAGTGCGCACGAGCTGAAGAAGAACCCCCAGAAATCCCCTGTTCCATTCTCCTAATGCAGAGGAACAGCCCTCAGGCATCTGCCTAATCTGCTCGTTGAAAGCAGAGGACTGTGCACTGCCCTGTGCCTGCATCAGCAATTTAGAGTCAGGAGGTATCATCAGAAAGCTTTTCCAACAGTAAATTAAATGGTATTCCTATTCTTCTTAATGGAGGCAGAGAACAATCAATGTCCTTTTTACAATTATATCAATGTCCAGGAATAGCAGTTTTCACATCTCTGTTTCTGCTCCTCTGCTTCACAGCAGACAACATCATTCCCTTCACATCAAGGTAATTCTCTACCCTGGCTGCCCCCCGTCTTGTCCACATTAGCAAACCCTACATATATTCCTCTCAGTCAGTCATTCACAGAAATACAGAATGAGACCCGTTCCACAACAGGATCCCCCGAGATCCTCCTTGAAAAGTCCTTCCAGCATTACAGCAAAGCACCTGAGAGTGCAGTTGTCACCTCCTGTTCACCTGGTTATGGTGATTTCACTTAGATCACAACTTTCTCATTTGCTTGCAGGATTCACCCTGCCTTTGTATTGTCAAGAAATGCCTATTGTTTTCTCTCTTACCTGCTACACTAACTACCATGATGTTTGATTGTTTTAATCAAAACAAAGAAACATACAAAAAATACAGCCAGAATGGACTCATCACCTTCATACCCATGAATCACTCATAAATTCATTATTTCATAAATTTCTTCAGTATCAAAGTTAAACTGTTCAGATCAGAATTTCTCACATCTTCTTTCTCTCCCTTCTGAAACAAATACCAGGCTTGCCCTTCCAGCCCCTGAGCCCCTTCTCTCCACCCACCAGCTCACAGCACTCCGCGTGTTTACCTCAAATGCTCTACATTTTTACAGCTAGCCAGAATCTCCAAACAGTCAACATCCATGAGACATCCTGCAAAATCCAAATGAGTCAAATCCTGGCCCAAGTTTATGACAAAAACCAAAGCCGACATGTCCAGAGGCGTCAGTCTAAAGTTCTTAAACTCATACTTGAAATTCAGCAGGCTCCCGATGTGCTGGGCTACTTTGAGGTCTTGCGTTTCAAACGTGCAGTGGCAGAGCTCAATGACCTTAGGCCCTGTCAGATGAGTGGCCGCCAGTTTCTTGAGAGATTGCAGGATTGCGTCCTGCTTATCCTGCACCCAAGCTTCATCTTGGTCAGCCAACAGCATGAGAAATGTCCTACACTCTTTTGACGACAAGCCTGAGAGAAAGATGTGAAAACTCTCCATGAACTCAGTCTTTGCCTCATTCTTTAAAGTCCACTTTGACTTCAAAGAGAACTTCTTCCTCAGGTAGTTCTTGTCCACCCTCTCACTTACCATGAGATACAGGGCTGCAAAAAACTCCTGCAAGCTCAAGTGCACAAAGGCATAGCCAGCCTCTGGGTGTGTGCCACTCGTCTTCACCTCAAAGACAGTCAGCAGTCCGTGTAAGGAAGCAAATTCCTTCACGTGCTCTGGAATATCACCAACATAAAATACAAGCTTCTTATCTTCCAGGCCTTTCAGTGCAAGATCACACAGATCCAAAATGGCCTTCCTGTTACAGTTCAGCTGAGTCTCCTCATCACCTGCACGTTCTCCTTGCTGTTTGTTTATGAAGATGAGAAGCATTTTGATATAAAATTGTGTCATAGTCTGGGGAAGCTCCACATTCATCTGATGTTTAAGGAGCAAATACTCCAAACAGGTGCACACAATGTAACACAGAGCAGGGATCAAGCACAGGCTGAGGAGCTTGGTGTTGTTCTTCAGGTGAGCAATGGCTTGCTCTTTGAATGAATGCTGATGAAAATAGTGGCTGACATATTCCTCAACCTTCTCATGGTCAAATCCCCAAATTTCTGCTAGCAGATCTACTGTGTTCAGTAAGTCTTCAGGTAGTCTCTTAGGTCGGCTGGTGACCAACACTGTGCAACCAGGCAGGAGCTTCCCACGATAGAGGTTTACAAAGAGCTCAGATATGGACATACGGGAGGTAAGAGATGGGCCTCCCATAGAAGAGGATGACACATCCATGTTAGCTGCAAACTCATCCAGTCCATCAAAGATGATCAGTGTATAAGAGGCTTTTTCCAGGAGGTACTGGAACACTGCATCAGGGCTGTCTTCTGGCTGAAGGAACAGGTCAAACAAAAGCTCCTTCAGAGTCAATTTTCCTTTTAATAAATTCAACTGCCGAAACTCAAACAGGAAAGTGAAGAGAAACTGAGGTAGGACACCTTCTGCCCATTTCTGACAAATCCTGTGCATTAGCATGGTCTTGCCTGTACCTGGCTTACCAAACAAAAACATCACCTTTGTCGTGCCTGATGGGACCACACCACGAAACAAATCTGACACTTTCATGGCTGTATCCACACATTCTTCTGGTTCAGGAGCACCTGCCACATCCTCTCGGGGTTTATCTGTTCTCTCTTTTAAGCGGGAGGCTTTGATCTGCCGAATGACAAGGTTGACAAAGCCTTGGTTGAAAGCCAGTGGCTGTGCTTGTTCCTGTGCTGCCGCTCCTGCTGCTCTCCTGCTTCCGTATCTCTGGCGCATGGAATTGATGACGAAACGCCGGTACTTTTCAGCAGAATCTGAGAAGACAACAGAGTGAGTATGAGGGTAAAAAAGTTAGTTCTGAGCCATGACAGATCCAAAATACTACCACTTATACACAGAAAAGCCATGGCCCTGATCAGAGGCTGCTCCACAGAGCTAGGTAGAGATGACAAATTTTGAAGACATGCAAATAACCCATAATTTTTCCTATTTTTGCACAGGGGCCAAAGAAGAAGAAAATTCAGGGAAAGGGTGAAACAGCTTTATATAAAAACTAAATCTTATTATCTCTTTAAGATGAGAATTAGGTATTGGTGTATTATGCATATAATTCCCTGTTCACTAGCTGCCTGTTCACCCACGCTGGCCTTGTGCCACGCTTGCTCAGCTACCTGCACCTCCGAACAGACCATAGAACCACAGGATCACAGACTGGTTTGGGAGGGACCTCACAGCCCACCCAGTCCCACCCCCTGCCATGGGCAGGGACACCCTCCACTAGCCCAGGTTGCCCAAAGCCCCATCCAACCTGGCCTTGAACACTGCCAGGGAGCCAGGGGCAGCCACAGCTTCTCTGGGCAACCTGTGCCAGGGCCTCAGCACCCTCACAGGGAAGGATTTCTGCCTCACATCCCATCTCCATCTCCCCTCCTGCAGCTTCAGGCCATTCCCCTTGGCCTGTCACTCCCTGCCCTTGGCACCAGCCCCTCTCCAGCTTTCCTGGAGCCCCTTTAACAGGGACTGGAAGGGGCTCTAAGGTCTCCCCGCAGCCTTCTCTTCTCCAGGCTGAACAACCCCAACTCTCTCAGCCTGAGGTCTCCATAGCAGAGGTGCTCCAGCCCTCTTTTGCTTTGAGAACTGGAGATCCCTGATGGTATCAGCATCTCTTTGCTGAAGAGAGAACAGAGGTGGTAATTAAGGGTGCTCAGCACCTTCTAAAAACCCCTATCCTCACTGCTGTTATGTTTGCTGAGTTCTGTTGAAGGAGAAGATCTGGCCTCCTGGGAGCACCTCCTCAAGAACTTTCCTGCATGCAAACTTTCTGCCAAAAACTGGTTCCAGCCCAGCTGCAGCCTGTGTTCCCCCACCAGACACTGGGCAGCGCTGGACCGTGAGGATTGCAAGGCTAAAAGCAGAGGTAGAAAAGTGTAAAGAAAGGCAGATGATGAAGGAAGGGATGTGGACACTGGTGTTATACAGCCCGTGGGTCTGCTCAGTCTACCCAATCTTTCCTGGAACTACTCTACCTCAACTTTGTCATCACTCATCTATTCAGTTACTTCTCTGCGCGAGGGTGAGCAGAAACCATATGAGTTTTTAATGTGCTAGAGAAACTGTGGAGCCTGTAGCAGGTTTTAAATTGTCAGTATGTCTCCTGATTTGGTAAAAAACCAGCAAGCAAACACAGCGATGACCTACAGCTGAATGCTCTACCAGCATATCACACTTTAAGGGAATCCTTAGCCTATTCCACCTGCATCCCTTCTCAGGTAGGTTTAATATATCTCTGAAATGGAAACGGATGTTTCTCGTTATTTGCCAGGTCCCATTGTCTGTATGCTTTATAACCTGCTGCATTAAGAGTTTATGCAGCTACTAAACAAAAGTTTCCCTCAATGCGGGAGGTTGATTTCTTGGGTGTTTCTGCAGAGTTAAACAGGTCCTTCCTCAGAGGAAAGTGGAGGTCCTTCCACTGCTCTGCTTCTGGAACATCTACATACCTAGTCGTTGCTTTTTAATGTCCTTATCACTCTCAGAGCTGTTGTGATGGCGACGTCGAATAAACCCTGAAAATTGAGAAGTCAGAAATATGTCAAAAGAGCATTTTGAATGGCAGTTTATTAGAGCTGGGCAAGACTCTCCAGCAAAGCATTTGGGGAGCTGAAGAGGCAAAATCAGGGAGACAAAACTATTTGCAAATTCAGGCTGAGATTACAGAACTGCTTTTGCAAATGTTGAAGTAAAAGCAGAGGTGCATCTAGCTATAGAAAGACAGCTTGGGCTGGTCCTCATGAGGCTAATCCATCCTCTTGTCCCGCTCCAAACAGGCTACAGCTCTCAGGCGCGACCAAGGGCTCTGGGCTGGTTTAAAGACCTTCAGTAATGGGAATCCCTGAACTTCCCCAGGCAATTCATGCCAACATTTCAGTTTATTTATATAGATTTTCCTAGTGGGTAACATCAATCCTGCCTGCCACAGTATGATCTGCCATTTCCCTGTTCTATCCACTTGAGCGTTTTTGCTGAGAAGTCAAGCAGGTCCTTCCTCCTCCCTGGGACACATGATCAGCCACAAGGATTCAACATTTATCTAATATTGGAACATGACTTTGCACTTCACAGAGCTGTTAATATCCAAATCTTACCGTTCTCAGCCAACAGCAGCTGGGACATCAGAACTAGGGAGGTACAAGCTGCTGGTGGAAGCCTGGCTTTGAAAATCTTTGCAGGAAACAATGTGAATTTTAAAAGGCATGTTTGCAAGAAATGCGTTAGGTTTAGCAAACGATGCTCAGATCCTTTTGCTCAATCCCCTCATTTGCTTAGCAGCACAGTGCTAAGCAGTGCCAGAACCTTAGCAAAAATCGATCATAACAGCCCATCAAAAAGCATCCTAGGAAATGACCCTACTGGCCGCACAGCTACTGGAAGGCAAAAAAAAAAATGAGGTATGTGCAATTATGCGTTCGGAGGAGCATACATAATAGAGAGAGCATTAAGTGCTACAGACAGCCTAATCAAAGACTTACGCCACAAGCAGTGCAAAGTTACGTAGGGCACAGAGGAAGTGGTTCTGAGCATATGAAAGAAGCCTGGCAGATTTGAGATGGCAATAAACCAAATAGCAGTGCCACATATACCAGCTACACACTGTAGCAAAGCCCACAGCCCCATTTCGTTCAGCTGTTCTCCACTCCTCCTCAGGATTTAAGTCCACCCAAAGCAGGATAAGCCTGTGTGATGGACCTCAAAGAGAGCAGGAGCAGGAGATATCAATGACTAGACATCTCTGAGCTCCACAGAAAGTTTCCTTGTGAGGGAAGCCAGCTGCCAGGTCAGCCTCCACGAGCTCAGCTGGCCAGCGAGCACTGTATCAAGGAGCTGCATCTACTGCTGTGAAAACCTGCCCTGCATTTTCCAAGCCAGACCACAACCACCTCACTGGTGAGTCTTTTTGTAGGCTGGGCGATGCATCCGCCTTGCTTTGAATACAGGAACTGTTCTGTTACCCTGGGGAACAGGGCAGGGAACAGCTATTTCTGGGAACGCACAACCCACAGGGCTTTTATGGTGCTTAATTCCCTGTTTGTTTGTGGTGCACTCTCAGATGGAGAGAATGTGCAAAGCCAAGAGGCATGAGTCTTTCCTAACTGGTCCTAGTAACTTTCAGCACTATTTTTGAATTTCTATTCCACCAGCAACTGGCAAGATCGACCGCCTACTCACTAGGGCAGCACAGCAGCTAGCAGCAGCCATCTGCAGAACAGAAAGGTCACTTTTCAAGATCCGACAACTGCGTGTGACACACAAGATACGGTATTTGCAGTGCCGTGACTCAGAAGCAGTCTGAGTGAAAAGCATGGGCAAAAAGGTCTCTGTGACCACATGAACAGCTGGAACTGGAAAGGGGAGGTTGGGAACTACACTTTAAAATGGGTAACACCAGCAGGGAGTGTTCACTGTGCAGGGAGTGGGGTGCTAAAAGCCTGCCAATGTCTGGCTGGGAGCTGCAAAATGGGAATGCAAACAGCAGATTTGCAAAATGGGAATGCAAACAGCAGATGCGAACATACCAGTTATAAGGTCATAAGGGAACTGGCAAACCGCAGCAAGAACCAGACAGTTCCACAAGAAGCTCCTGTTGCTGCGAGCGTGAGCCTTAGCCAGTCCCCAAATTCACACAGCAGGAAAAAAACCAAAGAGCATCATCTATTTTTCCCCACTGGGCAATCCAGCACCAACATTAAGCACCTCCACAGGACACAAAGCCTGCTCTTTGCTCGCTGCACTCCCAGGGTCCTGGCTCAGTGACTCCTCTACACTGCAGCCTGCAGAACACAAGGCTTCATCTCCCGCTGCTTTGTTTTCCCCCAGCACACATTTCAGGAGGCCATAGCAAGCTGATGGCAGCTTTCTGTGATAATCTGGATCCCTTTTGCTGCTACCTCCACCGTTTATCCTCTCACCAAGCCGGATGCCAGAATCACACCCTTTCTCTCTCTGAGACTCCTCACGTGGGGAGGACCGGGGCCGCTGTTTCATTTTCTGGAAGCTGAATATCTGGTGACTGAGGCAGCAACTCAGAATTCAGCAGCCTCCAGTTATTCCAGCAGCTGTTGTGAGGGCCCAGGGACATCGCTCAGTGGTGGCACATACCTTCAGTATTTCCACATCACACCAAAGGCTTCTGATGGAAGTTTGGGTGACAGATGCCACTGCAGAGTGCCAGGGGAAGAGGAGATATCTTGAAAACAAATCCTTCATTTCATGATCTGCTCTGAGGAGGAAGGCCTCAGTCCCAAATTCACCCCCGAAGAAAGCCCTAGAACTACTACTGTCCATTCTTTTAAGCTCTGATTCTGACAACTCTGCAATGGTTTCTGCTAGATCAACTCCTGAACTGTCTTTCTGCTCTTCCTTTAAAAGCCAAACCAACTTCCTCCTCCTTCCAACAAGCCAACCACAGTAAAAGCACAAAAAGTGGGGATTTTGCAGCATGGGTGGGAGATCCCTTGGCCAGAGAAACTAAAATGAGTGAGTTCCTTAGCAAAGTGAGGGCTAACGACTTTTTTCTGAAATTCAGAGAGAGAAAGCAAAACAGGGAAGGCTCATCTGGAAAGCACCAAGAACAGAAAAATCAAACCTGTAGTTGCAGTGGCTTCCCCACAACTTGCCGGTGCTGTGGCCAATACGTGGGACATTTGTAGCCCTGCCCAGCCCATGGGCAGAGAAGACAAACTCCAAGAGCACAGCACCCCGGGGTCTGTTCCAGCCTTTCCTCTCGGCACAGATGACCTGGCACTCGCATCTCTGCATGCTTCTTGTTTCTGGCTTGAGTTACCTAAAGGAGTTGGATTGGAAATGAAATACAGTTACTGCAAGCGTCCTGCCCTTGGAATCTGGGGCGCTGCTGGCCAACGTCAAAGGGCAAGCAGCTCCCAACACACACAGCGGTACAAACCAAGACCCATTGATGCGGCACAGCCAGGTTTCAGGCTCCCCACCTGATCTTTTCCTTTCAGATTGTTCTAAAATATAGTTAATCTCTGCTTTCAAGGGAGGGGTGAAACAACTTTTCTCTACGATACTGTCCTGTTTCAGCAGGGATAGTTAATTTTCTTCCTGGTACAGTGCTGTGGTTTGGATTTAGGATGAGAATAATGTTGATAACACACTAATATTTTAGTTGTTGCCCAGCAGTCAAGGACTTTTCAGCTTCTCACACCACCCTGCCATGACACCTCAGGCCACCAAGGAAGAGATGCAACATAGAGATGGGCTCACGATTGAGGGGTGGACTTGACTACGGATGCTGTTGCACAGGTTATCCATGAATGTGAAACGTGCTGTGATCAAGCAAGCTGAGCAGTTAAAGCCTCTGTGTGTTAGGAAATATTAGTTGTCAAACTTAGCACAAGCGTTGGCATAACTAACTTAGCATAAGTGGTTAAATTTGACAAAACTGTAGGCTACAAGCAATGAACATTCGCCTAGATGTATCGAACTTTTGTGGAACCCTTTCCTAGCTAAGTAAAAGAAGGCCCAGGAGCTGGTTCAAGCTGCAAGATAAGGAGACTACAACCATCCGCAGAAGCAGCAACCTGAGAGATAAGAAGCAGCCCGCCTAGAGACAAAAAAAGACTCAGTGAATAACAGAAAGACCCAGACCCTAATCTGAACTGTCACGTGAGGGGAGAGGAACTAAGATGGTAAGGGTATAATTGCCCAGGGGCTTCTTTGTTCAGGGTCCCTCTGCAGAGGCATCCAGCTTGAGCTGTTACAGCTGCTGTACCACCCAAATAAATTATCTCATAGGACTTAGAGCCTGAAACTCTGCTGTGGGACACCTAGGGTGAAGAAACTTCCTTAGCATGTGGTATGGAGGACGATGGCTGAAATCTAA